ACAATAATGTGGGCACGCGGACACGGGGAGTTATGACGAGCGGAATATTCATTATCCTACTACTTGCGGGCGCGGGCTAAGGAATTCATAACTCCCGCGACTTTCCCCGCGAGACCAATTGGCGGCGCGGCGCGCACCACACGTACGCGCGCCAGCCCGCCGACGGTGCTGCGTATTATACGCGTCGTATTGTTACTGTTGTGTGTGTGCGTGTGTGTGCATGTGTGTGCAATGCGTACACGTAATAATAATATTAAGCGCGATGCCCTTTTGTTTTAATTCGAAAGTCTCATCTCGTATTCACCAGCCGCCGCCCGGAAGTCGTTAATTATAATATCCATAATATATAGCTCGACCAGAACGCACGCGCGTTCTAACCCGTTTTACTGTAGTCTCAGAGATTATAATAATATACTGCCCGCGCGCAATTGCGTTATATACATAATAATAATAATAATAATAACSATAAGGGCCCGTTCGTAAATGCCCTAAAGACCAATTGCAAAAAACGCAAAAATAAATGTTCGACTCAATGATGTAAACCRGCCGAGTAGTGAGAATCACCGTACGTTTTTGACAGGCGTGAGAGTAAAACGATGGGTTAACTTTCGGTGGTTTTAACATTTATTAATCTTGACTGAACATGCAATAATACAACACCAAAATACTGAGTTTAAGAACCCATAATATAAATAAATACAGACAAAACGTGAAGTAATTTTTAAAGCTTATTGAAAACATATTATGAAAATAATATTTTTTGATATCAAAACTTTTGAATTTCCTAATTCRCATTAAAAGCTMTCACGATCTGTTGATATGCACTAAAAGTTAATAAAATAACCTACTAATGCTAAAAAAAAAATACTTATAACAAATGGAAAAACTACAAAAATGGAAACTATAGCGCCTTTGAATAATAGTATATCTATTATATTATACACGGAACAAAGTATTTACTAGTTATATCTTTCTGAAACTACCAAAATCCAAAATATAGCGATAGGATTTTAAATGTCACAAAAATCCGAGAAAAAACATACGATTGAAAATTACCCAACTTGTAAAAATCGTTCGATGGTCTCGAATAACTCATTTAAAATGTATTTCTTAATTAAGTATTGTTTATTGTGTTTATTTTTCGAATAAAGTGTTATATGAATCAAACCTAAAATACAGACGTTCTTAACTCCTTACCTCTTTGATTCTCTGAAGAAATTAGAATGGCAATCAAAGATCAATAACTTAAAGGAGAGTATGTTATATAGGCTATGATGATATTATATTATCACGTTTACAACTATCTGGACTCTATTCCAGTAATGATGGTTTTTATAAAACCGTTAAATTTGATACAATTATAATTTGCATTCAAAGATGTGTGAAAAAGGCTATAGCTTTGGTTGGAGACATTTTTATTTGTTTTGTAAAACGCAGTCATACATAAGACACTCGGTCTGCGTGTTATATACATCACTTGTCGCTCGCTCGCACACAACCATCGCCGCCGTCACATTACGTCACACGRTCTTGTCGGAAATAGCTCTGTGTTACGAGGTCAAGTCTTACCTCAAATTAGATACCTGCGAAAAACCTAGAAACTTGCTAGATGAAGACAATGTTCTCTACATAATATATATATATATATAACGGTTTATTTAAAATACATTATTAAACGCAAAAACGGTTGCAGAAATTCGCTAAAACTTTGAACTCCAATAAGTTCACCAACAACTCTCAAATACGAACTATACCAACTCGAGTGCATATTATGAACTTATTCTTTCCAAAACACTGAATGTGCGTAATATACATCATAATATATTAAAGTATTGCATCATCTCTATTCGCGATTATCATATATATATATATATATATTACCTATATAACTCTCGCCCGCTCGGTCGCCGCTAGTTTTGCGATTTATATACATATTATTAAGATTTTAGGGTACCATCCCCGTAAAGAACTTTTCATTTTATACGCGATATTATACGCCCTTGAAACCCATCACCACACTCCGGAAACACCGTAAAAACCACCTCGAGAACATATTATCGCTCGAGTAT